GGCTCTTCAAGGTCGTTCCCTATTATGTGCGAGGCACGGAAAAGAAGAGCCACACTTACGGAGGGCAAGCACGCAGGGCTTTTTGATAAACATGCAGTTTGAAGCACATCACTGACCACGGGCAAGCCATCGAAGCACTCTCTTACAGTCATCAACACCCGGACACATTTGCAGCAAAGCATATCATGTACAGATCGCGGTCCCTGGGTTTCAAAGACTCTGCGGTCTCTGCGCCACGAGAAAAAGGACTGCTGCTTTTTCCAGATGATGAAGTGTCGTCGTCGGTGCTTGGACCACTTCCAACAGATCGTGGAGTGATGTAGGAAGAGCTGGATGAGCTGCTCGCGGCGTCAAGAGGCTGAGGCACAATTATGAGATACGACAGCGTGCCCGTGGCCGACACATGATAACTCGACGTCGTGGTCTCCGCGCCCACGCTAGCTGTGGCTGTCGTCGATGGGCTCGGTGGCACTGAATACTATAGAAGGAAATACGCCCAGCCCCAACATACTAAACGGAGCTCAGTCCGAGCGGGGCCGCTTAAGGGCGCGGCGCGCTCTTGTCCGTTCCGTGGGTAGTACTACTATCGGCCGGCACTCGCTCCACAACAACCAAAAACTCAATCTTTCCTCCGCGAGCCTGAAAACAAGAGGCTTGCGCGCGCGAGCACGCCCGGACCTGCCGGATTCTGGGCAAAAGCGTGACCGTGAGCTTGGCCTCTAAAAGAAACGGCCACTGGATTAAACCGAAGCGGGGGCAGAAGCTGCACAATGTGGATCCTATGAAACAACAAGCGCGCAAAAGACCACCCCCCCCCCCGGCGGATGCCTTCACCTATGCGCGACGCGCTCCCCTTCGCGGTGTCGCGGGCCCATGGTTTACGAGCGCCGAATAGCAAAAAGCGACCCCGAGCTTCCTCCGACAGCCTTGCCCCTGGCGTCGGTTTGCCGTTTTCCAGGCCTCTAACGGGCTGGAGAACACGGCCCACGACGGCGCCAGCATCAGCCTCAAGGCATATATACAGACCAGAACTGCCGGCGCCATGCAAATAAAACCAGGTAGGGACGAAATTTCTATTTTGGCCGGTCGCACACGCACTACTAAAGAAAGAACTCCGGCAAAAGCTATAAAGCGGACAGGCCCTGCGGCGCCGCAGGATTGCAGAGAGCGAGCGAAGAGGATCTGAGGCCCCCACGAGCCACGCAGGTCGCCGAGGTAGGTCACACTGACAGGCCACGCGATGAAGAGACGCATAATTGTATGAACATACCCGACCCAAGAAATCCCAACCATGTAAGGCTAAGGGCATTCCCCGTTTCGCGAAAAACGTCCACGATGACAGCGACCTAACCTGCTGTCAGGCTCTCCTGGGTGCGTGCCCGTAATTTTACGCCCAAAATAAAGAAACTTTTTTTTGTGGGTGTCCATGTTGCTTTTTTCACTGCGGCGAAGGGTCGTCGAAGGGGCGAGTCGTGAGCGGTCGCGCGCCGACAAAAACGTATGCCGGCACAACTACCACAACTCGTCGACGCGCTACCGAACCTCGCCCGGCAAAGGAGATGCGGCCTGATGTTTTTTCGCCTCGCGATTTTGCTTATCCGCCGCGCGGCCCTCGTCTCTACGGTTTCTTTTTTCGCTGCCAGCCAGACTGTCACTTTCACAAAAGGAATCGCCGCAGACCCGATTTTGGACCCAAATGGAAAAGGGCGGCAGACCAGACTGTTCGGTCTGCCGAGCGGGAAAAGAGTCGCTCTGCTAGCAAAGCCAAGATTCGTGTGGTACGTACGCTGCATGTATAAGGCTTACTGGGTTATGCTTAGGCTGCGCAATTTTCTGCGATAAGGCGGACTTCTTCATGAACGAGGGAACCCACGAGCCTCCAAGCCAGCCCAACGTGGGCTTCGGGCTAGGAGGCGAAGAAGGGGTCTCGTCCAGCACGCTGCTCCCGTCGCTTCCTGCCGGCTTTTCCCCGTGTGTCGTGGTAGTCTCCGCTCCATTTTGAGCACGGTGACGACCAGCCGTCGCCGCTGATGTCAAGATGAAACGCGCCCCCATGATCCAAAAACCCGTCCCTCGGTCGGGAACGACTATATTACCAAAACGCTATAGTCATAGACGTTGTTCCGGAAATAAACTTTGCAGGCATCCGCGATACAACAAATTACAAAACTTGATCATGAACTTCGACGACAACGGGCAAAACGCTGTGCTGCAAACCAGTGGCGACCCCTGCTGCAACAGCACCTGCATATCAAAACTAGAACTACTTAAAGGGAAACTCGTCCTTTATCTTGATAATGCTATGCGTATGCAAAAGAAATTACAATAAAAATAAAAGCAAAACGCTTCCCTAATGTGGTCACATCTTTGAGTTTGCGCGACGAATCCTCCGACGTTCTGGGTTCAGGGCACTTTTCATTTCGATACCAGGTACCTGCCCCACCGCCCCAGCGTGAGCGTCCCGAGCTTCTGCACCGCCTGCCGCGTCAGTGCCGGAGGAGTCTTGCGCGCCGTGCTCTCCGGTTGACCCTGCCACTCTTGCAGCCGGTTTGCCAACAGCGTGGCCACCGGTTGACCCAGTTAGTTTTTCAGCATTTGCTTCCGTCGCTCCATCGTTCACCAGAGCCAGCTCGCCACCGGATTCGAAACTGGCCTGCGCCTCCTCTGCAGGCACCACGTCTCCTGCGCTGTTCCCAGCGTGAAGTCCGGGAGCTGGTTCCGTTGCCGTTTGTTCTGCTCCGCCGTCGCCGGGGTTGGCGTCCGTATCTGCACGCTCCGCGGCTGGTGCCTTGCTGGTGCTGGACACGAGATGCTGACGAGCTGGGGGATCATCGCTCTCGTTGGCAATGACATCGGGCTTAAGCGTCGCACGGGGTGTAGTTTTTTTGTGCGCCGGCCTCTGGCTGGCAGCTTCCGTAGAGGACCCTGCCATCGAGTACTCCCGTTTCGCATCAGAGACAAAAGCAAATGAGTCCCGCCCCGAATTGTTCCAACTGTTTCTGCTGCAACGTTTCCGAAAGCAGGCGTCTTGCACGACTGCAAGAATGCAGCAGGACCGACGAAAGAGCTAAAGTAAATAATTGTATTCATTGAGGGTGAAGTTGCGCGTGCGGAAAGCAGCTCTTATAAAATATTATGATAAGCGCTGCTTCTGAAATTGGGTCGCTTTCTTGCGTCCGAACGCTCTAGTTGTCATCCGCATCGTGAATTTCTCTTGCCGACACGTGCAGCATCATGCAGTGCGCTTGCAACATAACAGATGGCGCGAATTTGAATTTATCCAAAAAACAAATGTTAACATTAACATTTTCACTAGTTAAAATTTCAATGCATTTTTTGACGAAAAAAAATCAATTTTTGCAGTCGAATTGTATTCAATTTTTAATACTATGCATATCAACCCACGGACAACTAGCTAAATGATGTAGCTTATGTTTTGAGCTAGCTAGGCTAAGGTCTCGGAGTCCGTCCTGCTTCGGTCCGAAAAGTGGCATACTCGACCCGACCTTGACGAGACCAGAACCTCCTAGTCGCTCCCTCGGCCCCATCTCGCAACGCACGGGGGGATTCCGGTAGGACTGGCATCGGCCTGGGAACGGTGGCACATGACCCGAAGCTCCTCGTCCTGGCGAAGACTCGGCTGCGCGCCTCGACCTCCACGAAGAAGTTCCACGAGATTCCTGCTCGATAGTCGGTCTGTGAGTTGGGTATCTTGATCGGTAGTTCCAATACAAGTTTTCGAAGTAGCTTCTAGTGCAGATTCGAAGTTGTAGCAGCGCCTGCATGATCAAAATAACTTTCATCTTCAATACAGTTCCCACAAAAAGCCCGCGCTCAGGGCCAGAACCCCCCCGAGACCTAAAAACAAAACCCGAGCCCGCTTTCCGGGTCTAGCTAACGAAAACCATGGGGACAGCGCCCCGAGATGTGGAAATCTGGTCGGTCCAGAAAATCCGCGACCTACTGGGCCCCTCGCATCGTGAATTTGTTTTGCCGACACGTGCAGCATCATGCAGTGCGCTTGCAACATAACAGATGGCGCGAATTTGAATTTCTAGAGTGTTTATTCGTACTGTCGCCTGAGATAGCATCTCCTTGGAGTGTTTTTTATGCTGAAAATACAGGTCGAATACAAATTACAGCAGAAGGAAACTTCAAATTTTTTCATCACGGAGTGGGAACAACGGTTTTCATGCTGATATCGTTTATTTTCCAGAGCGGCGGACTCCGCTGCATCGGGTGGCAGCACCTCCACGTCGAACGTGTAGGAACCATGATCAGTCGTGGCGTCGTGACCTCCCGTATCATCCGCCGCGTTGGAATGCGCTAGAGTGGCGGTTTATGAAATGCAAAAGTGTCTGCGTCTGGAAGATCGCCAGGTTTGTCATGCATATTCTGCATGACCCATGATGCCTGTAGTGCATGACTTAGCATCACAGATTTTTGGAAGGCTTCCTGCTGCCTATTCCGCATGACAAATCCCCTCTCCACGTAGCACAATCTGGGCTCCTCTTGCTGGTCATGCAACACAGATTTTTTTAGAATCCAAAGACAGCATGACAAGTTTGGATCCTTCCAGACCCAGACATTTTTGCACTGCATACGGTTCCCCGAGGAGGCATCGAGATCTCCAGTTCCAGCCGTAAGGGTAAGACCCCCGTACTAGCTCCAGAACGGCTCCCAGGTTTCTTCATCTTCTCGCGCTGCTGACCGTGACCTTCATCTCTTTCGGTTTGGAAAAATGATAGCGGCGACGCCGAGGACAAGTCCGTGCTTTTCTTGCCGTCGCGATTTTTCACAGCAGCAGGCACGGTGGTGGACCGGGCAGTATCATCTTCCGTGTGAACAGACCCGCTGCCCCTGCGTACGTCCACAGCACTTCTGTACAGGTCTCGGCCCGGCGCTGGGGGTGAAAAGGAAATCCAAACCCCGAAAATCAGGCAGAAGACGGCAAAGATAAGCACCTCCCGCCGCGACCAGTGTTCCCAAATCATGCGATACTCCATTGCGACCACCCCGGGGCGGTTGTGTTGCGCACCTCCCTGGCCCATCCGAAGCCAATTCCGCATGAAGGCCGGATCATCGACGTTCGCAGCAGGCTGTGGCTGGCCGTTGCCAGGCGGGTCCGGTTGTTGTGGTTGTCCGTGCTGTGCCATTATGGATTGCAAAAGTATCGCACTCGTATAAATGCATTACAAACTTCCTCAGCATGAGAAAGAAAATTTGTATATGCGGATTTACCTTAAAGCAAAGACTTGTAATGCATGACTGCAATACGAGTACGATGCTTTTGCACAGGATAGCCATCGTGTCCTGATCGTTCGCTCTGTCGCTGGTGTCCACCAAACCGAGAAGAACAGTGTGAACTCAATATCCTGTGTAAAAACGTCCCCACCCCAGAGTTGTCATGCAAATGCGCAATGACAGGAGTCGAAGTCGATTTGTAATGCGCATCTCCTTGAGACGCATTTCCAGCCGTGTTTTGGAATTTGCGATGCTGTAAGCAGCATCAGTAAGTGGCCTTCTCATGCGGCTTTCCTTGCTAACCAGCACTACACTGCAGATGGAAACTTGTCATACAGAACTCCCAAAACTTGGAGATTTGTGCCGCAGATCTCCCATCTTGAATATGGTGTGGGGACGTAGTTTTTACGTAGGATACAATACTCAAAGAAAACGGCAGACGTCCAGAAAACCTTTTTCTTCTCGTGAGAAGACGGCAACTGATGTCGCAAAGAAATGGTCCCCGAAGAATCAGCTCGCACGCTGTGGTCTCAGGGGCTGGACGGCTACGTATAGCAATGGGCGACACTGAGAATGATAACCTACAAGAAAGTTGTGATCCACCTGATCTTGACCATATTGCCCAAATATCTTCTTTCACTCGATGCTTGTCATGTACTTAGTTTCTTTTCTCATGTTCTCCTGCAGGAGCAGGCGCATTTTGAAAGCTGCCTAAAGGGTTCGTCGGGATGAATTTGACTACATGCGGCCCAGGCCACTGAATTAATTTGAGGGTGCGAGTGGTGCGCATTTTTATTTGGTGGCCTGGCTGCAATGACTTTCTCGCTCTTGCCTTTGCGTGCAGCTTCGCATTGTTTCAATTGTGTTTCTGACTACTTATCACTGTTTGTTTGAAAAATGTTTCAAACCAATAAAGCGTATTCCGATTCAAGACTCGACACCAGAGGCCCAGAGGGCTGCAGCCAGATGACCAAAGCGGTATGACGTAAGTCAACAAACCGCTACGCCAAAATGTGCGAAATCGTTTTCATTTCAACTTTTTATTGCGCCCCAAGTGCAAAAAAAAATCTTTTTGACCAGGAGTGGAATCTGGTGCGATGCTCCTGGGCATCCGAGACCCAAAGGACTGCGGCCAGCTGAGGAAAGGGCCCTCAATCGTACCCGCGGCCCAGCACAGCGGTATGGCGTAAGTCAAAAGTCTACATGGAAATAGCAGAAACATTTTTTGTTTCAACTTTTGGCTCCCAAGCGCAAAAAAGAGGCTATTTGAATCAGTGGCGAAATCTGGGCTAAAAATCCACACGCGAGGCCCTAAGGACTGCAACCTGATGAGCAAAAAAAACCCATAAACCTCTCCGCGGCCCCCGACGGCATGGTGTGAAACGAAATCCTACAGGAAAATATGAAAAACCGTTTTCATTCCAGCTTTTTGCCTCCAAAACGCAAAAAGAAGCGCACTCGAATCACGAGCGGAGTCAAGCTCAATGCTCGGCACCAGGGGCTCCAAGGACTGGAACCTGATGAGCAAAAAAAGCCATCGATTTTTGTTCTCGCGGTCTGCGGCGGTATTATCATTATGTGAGGCAGAAACCGAATCCTCGCCCGAAATTTTCTTCCTGTAAAGCAGTCTTCCAGCCTTCACGCCCTCACTGCGCGCGCCGGAGCTTCCCTCCACACCCGGGAAGACGGCGAACAATGGCGACAACGCAGCACACTTCGTGTGCTTTCAGTTCACATCAAAAGTTTCCTATTTTATTCAGCACACAGCATCCCCAACGTTTTCCTGTAGATCTCTGGCACATCGTCCGCGTCAAATGTCCGTCTCCGTAGTCTAAAAAACGAATGACTTAATCAAATCAAGTCCTTTATCCAACAGCACTCTACAGTAGCTGTATTTGACGCAATTTATCGCTACTGGTGCTTAGGATCCTTGTTGGACTTACAGGCTGGAGACTTCAGACGAGTGAGGGGAGAGTTGTCGTGCAGCTATACTCTCACATGATTTGGCTTTGAGCATCAGAAGTACTCTGTCCATAATGCGTACTTACAATCACCACTAGCACTACGGCAACCCTATGAAATGCAAAAGCATCGTACTAGTATAAATCGCATGAGAAATTTCCTCAGCATGAAAAAAAAATTTGTAATGCGGATTTGACTTGAGAAAGAAATTTGTAATGCATGTTTGCAATTACTACGAGTACGATACTTTTGCACAGGATAAACCCCCTGCTTGCGCAAATCTCGCGCACCTCCTTGGGTGTGAGTTTCTGGCCCGTGTAGAGTTCAAACTGTTTGTATGCAAGAAAAAAGCTGTGTAAGTGTAACTTTGTTGTAATGCAGAACATGCAAGAGAGTTTTTACGCCTGTCATGCCAAACAGCCATGAAGTCCTTTTTCCATGTGTGTTTTGCCTTACAAGCCACACATGACAGGTTCTCTCTATCATGTAGAGGAAATCTGTGATGCTGTCAGCCACAGAAAGTTACACTAACACAGTTTTTTTCTTGGATAGTTTGCACACCTGAAATTGGTACATCAAAAATCCTATGCATTGCAAAAGTATCGTACTAGTGTAAGTTGCATGACAAATTTCCTCAGCATGAGAAATGGAATTTGTAATGCTGATTGACCTTAGGAAAAAGATTTGTAATGCATAAGTGCAATTACTACGAGTACGATACTTTTGCAAGGATAAAACTACGGCAACCCCCTGCTTGCGCAAATCTCGCGCACCTCCTTGGGTGTGAGTTTCTGGCCCGTGTAAAGTTCGAACTGTTTGTATCCAGGAAAAAACACCCATCCCCATCCAATTTGTCATACAAAACATGCATAAAACTCCTTTGTTTGTCATGCAAAAAATGGATGGGGGTGGGTGTTTTTTCCTGGATAGTTTGCACACCTGAAACTGGTACATCAAAAATCCCCCGTAGTATCGCAGGTTGCCTCCTCGCGCCCCCGACGGCGGGGGAGAATCCTCGCAAAAGGCTTTTAGGTGGTTCTGTTTTTCCGGCACGACGAGGTCCAACACATTCAACGTGCAGTCCGATTCGGAGCACGCCGAGGTCAGCAAGGTGGTGATCGCAGGCGGGAGTGGCGCGGTGAGCGACATCGGTGTCGCGTTGATGAGAACCTGGTATTGCCGCGTCGACGCTTTGACGGCGGTTGTATCCGCAACTACATCTACTTCGGGTAATTCCACGACCTCGACCTCCCCTGCTTCGGATGCCCACGCCTTTGCCTTGGCAGCGGCCTTCTCGCGGTCCCGTGCGGTGAGGAACAGAGCGAGTTTTTTCTGGGGATTTCCGACGGAATGAGTCTGCAGTTGCTGCTGCAGGGTCAGCATCCAATGCAACTATGTCTGGGTCGGGAAGAGCCAGAGTCACGCAGGCATTATATGCCCCGGAGGGTCTGGCTTTGCTTGGATTGGTTGCAGGGCGCAGCATTACACGTTTTGCGACAGCTTTGCACTGCCCATTCCGCATGAGCAATTTTCTCTCAGGGCGGCCAAGAAATGAAACGAAAAGCAAAACAAAATAAAGTGCACAACTTCAATTCATAATTTGCTACTCATGCATTACAGATTTTTCGGAGACTGACGCAGAACATCACAAGTTCCATTCCATCCAGACCCTGACATATTTGCATCTGATAGTCAGCAACACGTGGAGGATGCTGTCGGTCACACTCCCGCTGCCGTAGATCAACACGTTGACGTCGCGCTGCAATATCTCATCCCCGCCGCCGTCCGCGGTCGTCGAAAAGAATTCGTTGTCCCGACCAACCTTTTGGAACATTTCGCGAAACCCCATCAGATCCGTGTTGTACCCGATCAGCCTTGCGGGGCCATCCGCTTCGGGCGATTCCGAACGCACCACAGTGTTCACACTGTTCACCGCCCGGGCTTCCGGATCGACATCGTCAAGATGTTGAATCACCTCGGCCTTCAGCGGCATGGAAATCGAGCACCCCTTGACTTTATGCATTGCAAATATGTCTGGGTCGGGAATAAAGGTTGAATCTGTATTGCGTGTCCAGCATTTCAGGACGAAACTCTGTAATTGAATAAAAGCAACAATCGCGCCGCAATTTCGTCGTGAAAAGTCGTAGTTTGTAATGCGCACCAACTAGGATCAGAAACAGAAAGCGTATATAAGAATAAAGAAAATTTGTCATGCTGCACTGCACTTAAAGGCGCGCTCAACCATGACCATTCAGCATTACAAGTTTCCAGACCCAGACATATTTGCAGTGGATAGATTTTCAGAAACCGCACCGCGTCGATCAGGCTCTTGGTTTCCCCCGGCCCGCAGTACCGCCAGAAATAGAAGGAGTCCATCTGCCGCTGATTGAACACCGCATTGTAAACCGTCACCCCGAAGCTCGACGGCAAGGTGGAGCAAGAGAGAAAAAGGCTCGAGTTTTTCGTCGGCTGCCGCGAAGGTAGAGACGGTGCTGCTGCTGAACCATATCAAATGCAAAAGTGTCTGGGTCTGGAAGATTCTTACATTTGTGATGCATGTCTGACATGACTCAAGAATCTGTGATGCATGGGCACGAAAAGCCTCTCCTATCTGTCATGTTGGGAAGCTAAGGGCTGGGCGTCCCTGTCGTTCTCTAAACCTTTAAACGGTAACCACTTACTCGACAAACTCTAGGTAGAATAAGTTTGGACAAAGTCATCTGTCATGCAAAAACGCAGTTTCTCATGCGGAATACGCAACACATAGCAGCTCAAAAATTTGTCATGCTTGGCTGCCTACGGCAGTCCGGCTATCATCCACTTTTAGCATCACAAGTTTCCAGACCCAGACGTTTTTGCATTTGATAAACCACCTGCAGCTGCGATCATCGCTTGCGGTTTCGTTGTCGGTTCGGTTTCGGCCGGGAGAGCATATGCAGGCCTACTCAGAGGGAACAATCTCTTCAAACGAAGCAATGTAGAAATATGTCATGCAGAATCTTGATGCAGAAGGTGCTCAGTGATCCCCCCTTTCGGAGTCTGTCGAGTCAGGAGTTCTTCTTGTGCTCCTCATGTGCACGCCGCACTATCAGCTGCTCAAACTTGTGGAACCCAAGCCACATCACATCGGCGTCTCTCTGTCCATGCAGAATCTGCTATGTGTACGCGTACGCCTACGCTGCGCCACTACGGAAAGAAAATACTCAATTGGCTTTTCGCCGGCGTTTTCCCTGCATTCAGCATGATATTTGAAAATTAGCGTCGACGCCATTTTTGCGTTTGACATTGTTCCGTCTGCGATAGAAATACACTTTCTCCCTCCAGAAACGGGAGAAAACAACCAACGCCCGACATAGTCCGAGAAAACTAGGACTGAGACTAGATTTCCCCTCCACAGAACGCTAGACATCAGGAGAGATCACACCTAGTCCGAAGCTAGGCCTAGAAGTAGAAATAAAGTCCCCTCTCCAGAACGGAACATATAAAGCGCGAGAAATCAACATAGTCCGAGGCTAGGACGAAAATAAAATCCTCCCTCAGAAAATAGGAGAAATCAAACACGGTCCGAAAATAGGACTGGAAATAACCTCACTCCATCTCCGGAACCGGAGAAACCAGGAGAGATGCAACCTAGTCCGAAACTGGGACTGGAAATAAATTCGCTCTCCCTCTCCGGAACGGGAGAAATCAATGGAAATCCAAAGCCAACCTAGTCCGAAACTAGGACTGGAAACAAACTCTCGCTCCCTCTCCGGAACGGGAGAAATCAGGAGAAAGCCAACCTAGTCTGAAACTAGGACTGGAAATAAACATCGTCTCCCTCTCCGGAACGGGAGAAATCAGGAGAAATCCAACCTAGCCCGAAACTAGGACTGGAAATAAACTCACTCTCCCTCTCCGGACCGGGAGAAATCAGGAGAGAGCAACCATAGTCCGAAACTAGGACTGAAAATAAACTTCTCTCCCTCTCCAGAACGGGAGAAATCAGGATGAAATAAATCGGCCTAAGGCAGAGCGAAACAGTAGCTCCAATCACCCTCGGCAAATCACAATCAAGCTACCATCGGCAGGGGCGCAAGTCCCTGAAAACCCAGCATGTCAAACACAGAACAGGAAAAGCAACGCAAAACTGCGCCCCTGTCTGGTTCATATTCATGCTACTCAGGATTTGGTTACCGTGATGGGCGGGTTGAGCCCGCTCATAAAATATAGACCGACCACTGTCGGCCTTGACTCACAGGCTCGCAAGACCACGCGTGCCCGGTCATACATTTATTATGATAGTTGAGAATTAGCATCGACGCCATTGCGTTTGACATTGTTCCGTCTGAGCAGGTCATAGAGGAGAAGGCATAGTTTTCAAAAGGGGAGACCTCCCAGGAATATCTGTATTTTCCCTGTCGATATGGATATGCTGCTCCTGCTGTAGTTGTTAATAGGTGTTTTCATTTTTTCACAACTGATTACAATCCCTTCGTGCGTAATTGCTTATAACCGTAGTCTCCTGCTACACGCAATGTGATGAAAGAACGCAGCGGATACATAAAAATCGCAGTGTTGCTGCAGTTTTCAATTCAAACTAGCTCCTGCTTCGCACAGTACTCTTCAGCTTGTCTGCACAAGTCTGTCTTGTGCCCGCACTAGCAGAAGTAGTGCAATGCAATAAGGGCGTCATTTGTAGATCGTCTCGTCAGCACGAAAAATAACCTGTGCACACGGCGGCCCCGAGCTGGGCTGGGGAACCGAGCAAAGAAGATTAGCTCGCGCATTTCTGTACGCTTATTTTCTTTTCACGACCACAACTTGGCATCGAAATACAACGAAGCCCCTGGTAGAAGAGTATCAGGCCTCCTGGTCAAAACTAGACCTGCAGACTTGCTGGTCATTGCGCAACCTACAGCTGGTGAGCCCTCCTCGTGGCCCGAACTGGCAGCCATGCACTTGCAGGCCAGTAAGTATCTTTCTATAAGAGGCGTTTGCGGGACTACAAGAACCTATTGTCCCCACAAAAAGCGATACGAGTGGGACACAGACGGAAGCCGTGTTACAAACACAGGTCTCAAGCTGTCGAGCTTAATCGGATAGACCAACCTCCCACGCTCGCTAAATTTGGCTACCTATCCATCTACACACAGCTTACTTTGGACACCAGAACCCGAAACGGTTCCGATCGAGATGCGTCGGCACGAAACTCCTGGCCCTGTACAGGAAACTAGCTACAGCAGCCGGCTGGCGTCGTGTGTCAGCAGCCGGTTGGCATCGTGTGTCTGCATTCTTCTAGTTCTACTCAGCTTGTGCATTGTTCACGTCTACGCCAGGCAGGCTGCACATGCGGCGTACACCCCAGCGCTACTATCTAATACTAAGCACAACCGACTTTACAACTAAGCTCAACCGACCGCTGGACGCGCGCACCAGAAGCTGCGGCACGGCGCTCTGCAGCAGCGCCAATGGCTGCTCCGAGGATTTCAATCTATTTCGCTCGACACGCAAGCCATTGGTCGCTTTCTCAACATCGGGCCCCATGAATGTCTCTGGCCGCAGGCACTTTTCTACTTTCGGGCCGGCTCTCTCAAAGTCACTACAACCAGCGTTGCCTACGTGGGAAACTAAACCCAAGCGACAGATGATAACAAGGTGCTGTGTAAAATCCTCTAGAAGGCCGCGAGGACCGTAATTAGTAGTCCAAAGAATGCACCACTTCTAGAAGCCCAAAATAGTCGGAAACAAGTGTAACGCGGCGAATTGCAGCTGTCTTTACCTTTACCGTTAATACCCCGCCGGACAGTAGTTTGATGGTCCCGAAGACAATAGAAATACGAGAAAATCGATTCAGGAAATGAAGATCTTGTCGGGCGCGCTTCGTTGGTTCTATCGCAAGTGCTTGCCCCGCTTCACACAAGGTGGATGTGGAAGACAATTATGCATGTTGTTACTTACTCAGGCGGATTCGCATTCCTGGCTAACCGAAGCCGTACCAGCGGGCTTGTGGGAATGTGGAAACAAGAAACAGCGTTAATTCATTTCTGCGGATCCAAGAAAAACTACAGAAAATCCTACATCAGAATCAATCAGAAACACGTCCTAGAGTACGGGAGACAAAAACTCCACTGATTTTTTTACAGCAACAGTGAGTTACTGGACAAACCATAACGCATAAATCGGCTTCGCGTTGTTCCCAGCGCCCGTCCGCCACAACGATCGAAGTCAACGAAGGAGCAGGCGGTGGCGCAAAGGCGTGCTATGGAGAGAAAAAAGTTTGTCGCAGTCAGTTTCCTGCAGGTTTTGCATTACAAATTTTTTCAGCATCGCAACTTTTCCTTGTATTGCGGAAACACCAGGGAAATCCCTTGCAAAGTTTGGCTGTGGTGCATTTTCACGCATGACAGAAAATTTTGTATTGCAAAAATGCGTACGAGAAATCGTGACGACCTTTTTTTGTTTGATACGTGTCGTGCATTAATATCGGACTTGCGGTTCTTCACGAAGTCGGAAACTCCAAAACGTATGGAAGGAAACACTTTCTCCCTGCTTCCATGTACATTTTTCAATTCGCTGCAAACGTTTTTTTACAAACAAGAACATGCACGACAACGACGTCCTTTTGCATGAAACAGTTTTCTATTGCGACGAGCCCAGGATTTAGATTTCTCATTCTCATCTTTACAGATAGATGCACGCACTAGGTGACGCGACCTCTTCATCCTATTGTACAATGGCAAGGCCTTTCGAGAATGCGAAAACGCAATAGCATTTCCCCTTTCGTATGCTTGCATAGGTACACCAGGTAGCGGCATTTCAGGTCGCGCGGCAGCCGCGCTCGGCGAAAGTGGGCGGGGTGTGATTACGTTGGTCGTACCGTGGGAAATGAACCACACTGCCGAAAGAAAATCAACTTGAACATGTCGGCGCGCTGGGAAACGAGCCACGCCGTCGGAAGAACTACAGGTCGGTGCCGCCGGAGTTCCTGCATAAGCGCTGCTCAAAAAAACCTGTTGGCCCTGGCCGAGCGTGGTGTTCGTACCGATATGGCCGAGCATTGGACTTTCCGTGCGTGGCGCCACGTTATGCATTGCAAATCATATGCCTGGGTCTGGAACGATGCCCTTGTTTGTCATGCACCAGCACCACCCAAATCTTGTCTGATGCAAGCAAAAGCATTACAGGTTTTAAGAGCGCCTCTTGATGCCTGTCCCGCATGAGTAACTGCCGGATTGCGAAGCAAGCAATTATGGGCAGCTTGTGGCGCTCGTGCAACACAAATTCTTCTCTGTTCTACATCTACTTCCACAGCTTGCATCACAAGTTGCAACTCTTTGTCTTCCAGACATCCAGGGATGTTTGCATTTGATACAGGTTCCTCCGTACCAACGTCGCCCACACCGGTGCTGTACAACGAATGGATTCTTGCACGTGCGCTACGATAAGAGCATGTAAAATGAGGAGAGTTCGTCAAAAACGCATCTTTGTATGTTGATCTGTGTGCGTGGTGAGGGCGGGCACTGCGTCCCTCACAGACACATCGACCACACGAGCGGACCAGTCACTCAGCACACCTGCCTAATGATGAAGGATTGGCACAATAGCGCGTTTTTTGTTGCGTCGAAACAAGAAGAAACAAGAAGGAACATGACGACGATTGATGGGCTCAATATTAGAATCTTCCCTTTTATAGTTTTTATCAAATTTTATCCAATTTCTACTTCACCTGAAACTAGATTAGATCGCTTTCTTGAACTTGACCTGGACTACCGCACAAAAGTTTTTACGGTCTTGCAAGCAAGCACATTTAGAGACATTTCCAAAACGGAACACGACTGCACATAGCAGGCGATCGATTCATTTTTGCCTCGAGCTGCGCTACGTGTCAGTTTTGTAGCAGCACCGACCTCGTAGGCACAATTACCTACACCGGGGACAAACAAACAAAAAGACGAAGAGCTGCAACCTCCTAGGAATAAGATGAAGCACTTCTACTACTTTGATACCTCTAACCGAGCCAATAGCACTAAATATAGCTATAACAAACTCTGCTGCGCCGTGAGACAGTGACATGTGCTATTTTTATTGTGCAACTGACTGCTCTTCCTCACGTCAATCATGTGTTCCGTATCTCAACAGCACAGCAGAGCTAGGTCGTTCTGAATCTTCGCTATAAGTAGGTGTAGAGCAAGTGTAAGGTTTAGAGTGGGGTGAGGACGGTTTGTCTGCGAGGATCAGCACCACGCTGTGGTAATGTGCCTAAGGGTTCTCGCAGTTACAAATCTCTTTCTCAAGGTAAATCAAAATCTAAATCCGCATTACATAATTAAATTTGTACTGATGTGCCTCCAAGTTGTATAATGCAATTTATACTAGTACGAGGCTTTTGCATTGCATACGTAGAAAGAGTTGACATTAACCTCGTACGTCGCCACAGCTTGCCAACACGCGGCCAGTTGCTTTGTCACGCACGGTATCAAATGCAAAAGTGTCTGGGTCTGAAAACTTGTAATGCTAAAACTATATGATACACGCACTGCAGTACGCAGCTATGTATGATATTTTTTTTGGCTGCCACGTCTTACGTATTCCGCGTGGCAAACTGCGTTTTGTATGACAGGCACGAGGGCTTTTTCGTGCCTATGCAACAGAGATTCTCGAGTCATGCCGGACAAGCATGACAAACTTGCATTCTTCCAGACCCAAACATTTTTCCATTTGATACACGGGGGAAATCGAAATCCTCTTTGATGATTGAAATCTTTAGATTGTTCCTGCCCGACCCCTCTTCTTTTACGTCCCTGGATTCTCATCTTCTATATGGGCGGTGATAGTTGAGCTCGCGTCCATTACCTGCAACTCCCATGGTAAGAAAGTCTTGAAAAGGAATAGAATTTCCTTCTTCGCTGTGATTTTGGCCCTGGAGCAGGTGTTTTTTATTTGCTACATGAGAATTATACCGCAAACATACGCTACTGCGACCTCCATGTGGATCTCTTGGCCCTCCAAGGATATTACCCATCCACCCGCCATCGCCTTTCCCCAATTCTCGATGAAATCGAGAATATCGTCGAGAATATCGCGAGAAGAAGCGACACGGCAGTTATGGCGTTCTCAACTATTACATTCTCAGCCATTGCATAAATTTGTGATCGTAAAACACCCGCGCCGTTGTCCATTATCGCTGAGGAACCAAGCCTCCGCAGGCACTGGACGAGCATAAACTTGTGAGGAAAGAGTAGCACAGGTCGTGATAGGGAGAACAACATTGCGCGTCTTGCTTTACAGATTTGCTATGTAGCGCGTCGATACTTTGTCATGCGAAGTAGCTTGATCATGGCGATGTTGAATGATGGCGACAAATCATGGTTGAGAATGTAACGCTTGAGGACCTCATAGCAATCCTGGCCGGGTTGTAGTTTTTGTTTTGTTCTTAGTACAATGCGAATGCCTGCATCAATAGAAATAATAAGTACTTTATTTAGTGCGAAACAATTGAAATTCATTACAACAATTCATTTGCAGAAAAAAAAAGAAATCAAGTTTGCAGCAAGTCCGACCCATCCCTTGATAGGCTAGTGTCACGTGTTCATGCCTGCAGTCGTGTGTTTGACGATACAATAATATCTACATTCTTTGAAATGGAATTTGCAAAAATACAGATAAATATCATCGCAACATATGGCAAGTACGAGTGTGAGATAGTCCGGAAGGAAGGGTGAAATCATTCGCAAACGAATCAAAACCTAATACCGAAGATCTAAAAATCGAGAAGCACTGCCAAAACATTAGACCACACAAGTGGTTGTCATGCTTGTTTCTAGCAGCTCGTTCAGTAGCTGATTCATTTTGCAGCATTTGGAAAAGTCCACTGGCTTGCTCTACTTCTGCCATGATTTAAATCTCCTCGTCATTCAGCCTTGTTAGATTGTCGTTGTCCTTATATCGACTCCTGTGCTCACATTAGGTCCTGGACCACTGGGATTTGCTCACTTTCGAATGCTGAAGAAGTTAGTGCTGTTTTTTTTTTAATACATTTTTTTTGTCACGAGAAAATTCCAAAAAAGATTGAGTTCGTAAATTCAAGAAATAAAGGCAGACTTACTGATTTGCATGCACTATCAGCAAGCCGACCACAAGGGGGCAAAAAGAAATAGAAATGTTCTAATAGAAATATCAAGAAACTTTGCTTCATGACAAAGACGATGCGGATGCAAGTGCCGGGTTTAAATTGATAATAGTCCAGCCTCTTGGGTGTGGGTCTAGTACTTTACACTTTTATCGACCACTGTCTTGCGTCTTGTCCTATATTTTGTGGTTCATTTTCGACAGGATATCTTGTTCACCTTTTTCGAATATCAAGTGCAAAAATGTCTGGGTCGGGAAAAGTCGAACTTGTAAATGCGTGTCTTGCGTTCCTGGAAAATCTGTGTTGCATGAGCAGCAAAAGAGAAGTTTTCTTTGTCATGCAAAAACGCAATTTGTAGTGCGTGCTAGGCATCAGAAGGTGTCTCAAAAACTTGTCATGTCTGGCTTCCATTGGAAGCGCTTCAATCATCCACATTTTGGCATCACAAGTTTCCAGACCCAGACATTTTTGCATTTCATATCGAAGAAGCGGCGGACGAGGATCCACCGTTGGTCTGTAGTTGTGGCTCTTCGTAGTAGTTCATCGCGCTACTGGCAGCAGAAGCGGATGCCACTGGCCCACCAGCCGAAGGAGGGACAAACGCTGCTGAATGTGCTAGTGCTACATGATCATCACCCTGCTCTGGTCCCGCGCCATTCGCAAGCATGTTAGCTGTTGTCGTCCAAGTTGGGATGATGTCCACCACCTCGGATGCGTCACCTAGGCCGGCAGGTCCAGTACTCGGCCCTGACAACGTGGTGTTGACCGCGCCGTGTTGATAGGCAAGCATCTGCTGGTGCTGCCGCTCCGCAGCCGTAAGGTACCCCCGATCTTCAAGGCCGCATTCGATAGGTACTTCCAACTGCTGGGCTGCTACGTGCAATGAATTAACAACGTGCTGTCCCTCGTGCGATGCTGATCCCCGAGAAAAAACAAAAAGCAGGCAGGACATATTATTTGCACAATGCGCAAAGAAATACTACACCGAAGAATGATCTGCCGTGGCCAGCCTCTTAGCATGCTGCTTTAGTAGGGTCCACCAACATACGCGGTTTTTTTTTGATGTATTTATAGTTGCATTACAAACGTGACCTGCCTGCTTTTTTGTTTTTGTGTGTGATAATGCTTGATGCGAGGTAAAATGACCTGGCGCCGCACCTCCTAACCGCGGAGCGCCGCACTTATGGGACTCTCAAACGTTACATTCTCAACTGTTACACGATTTTGTCATGCAAAATTAGCACCAACATCTACATGATCAAGCTGGTTCGCATGACAAGTTCTCGACGTGCTAGATAGCAGTATAATCTGAAACGAACCTGTAATGCAAAAGGCGCAACCTTTTCCCTTTCACTTTTGCCATTCTTGCATTACAGATTTCATGTAACAGTTGAGAGTGTAACGTTTGAGAGCGCCATAGCACTTCGGCACCGCCTGTGCCAGTGCGTTTTGCCAGGCATCGCCTGGTATCAACTGCAAAAGTATCGTACTAGTAGTAATTGCAATACAAATTAGCTCAGCATGACAAATGGTATTTGTCATGCTGTTTTGCCTTGGGATAAAGATTTGTAATGCATGATTCCGATTACTACGAATACGATACTTTTGCACAGGATACCTGGCCGCACTTCGGGAACCGCACTGTCGGCCAGGCCGGCAGGGTTGGAGGTCGCCGGTCCTTGCTGATAATGGTATTGTATGAACTGCAAAAGTATCCGATACTTGTATAAATGCATTACAAATTTCCTCAGCATGAGAAATAAAACTTGTCATGCGGATTTACCCTAGGAAAACAATTTGTAATGCAAGACTTGCATTTATACGAGTACGATGCTTTTGCAGTGCATATATTGCTGCTCGTCTTGGTGAAATATGAAATGTAAAAGCATCGTACTATCTAGTAGTAATCGCATTACAAATTAGCTCCGCATGACAAATGGAATTTGTAGTGCTGTTTTTTTTTGAGATAAAAATTTGTATTGCATGACTGCGATCATTACTACGAGTATCAGATACTTTTGCACAGGATATGCCTTCCTCCTCCGACGCGTTGCGACCGGCTTCGCGAGATGGCCCTGTGGTCTATCGAATGCAAAAGTATCGTACTCGTATTGCAATCATGCATTACAAATCTATTCCCTAAGGTAAATCAGCATTACAAATTTTCTTTGTCATGCTGAGGAAATTTGTAATGCATTTATACGAGTACGATTCTTTTGCAATGCATATGGTCTATCGAATGCAAATATGTCTGGATCTGAACGGTTGCAAGACCGCGTGTCACGCAGGTTTTACTTTTACAACGAGTTAACGCTGGACCAGGCGGTGTCAAATTGAATTCAAAACGAATTCAAAATGAATTCAAAAAGTGAGCACTTTTGAAATGAGCCACAATCCGCGATGCCCTGGACTCTCAGCGGTTGCTGCCCCGGCAGCTTTTGGCGACCTGGTAGCGCCGCTGCCTGCTGGCTCATTGGCTCGGGGGACGGGCTCAACCCGCAGGGCTGCTCCGCGCCGTAGTAGCAGTGTTGCTGAATGATGACCGAGGGCCAGAGCGATGCGCTCTGATTCACTTTCCGGCATACGCCCGCATCGCCTGCGAAGGGCGACGGCGCGTTGTCGTGGCATAAAATTTCGCGCCACTATTGTGTAGCGCCTGTCTGACACGGGTGGCGGTCTAGTCATTCCCGCGACCGGCGCTATTATTGGCTTTGGCACTTCAGGCAGGAACGCTACAACTGGCCCGCACGGGCGCAGAAGGGGGCTGCGCTTGTTTGCGGCGCTAAATTGGGATCGGCGCAACAATTCTAAAGTTCATCGGGGAGTGGATCCCAATTTCAAACTCCATCCGATCGACCGGCCCCAATTCAAACTCCATCCGGACGACCGGCCCCAATTCAAAACCCATCCGGACGATCGGCCCCAATTCAAACTCCATCGGGGCCATCGGGGCAAATTCAAAACTCATCCGAATTCTGTCGGAATTCCGTCCGAATTTTGTCCCCTTCTTGGCTTCTTGATTCGGACGGATTCTGACACAATTCGGATGGATTTTGAATTGGTGGGGGATGGGATTTTGTGGTCCGAGCCACCAGAGTTGTGCCTCCAGTCGACTTCACCTACCGAATCCAGCCTGGGCGATCTTGGGTGGCTGACCGCATTGGGAATCGCGGCCGGGGATGGCCTCGCCCCTGCCGGCATTTTGTCCACTAGCGTCACACGCAATATGCACAGGCTGACTTGCTTGAGCGCTCGCCGGGCCAAGCCGCGACCCCGACACCGAGGCCAGCCATGCTCCTAACCGCATGCGCCGGCCCCCGGCGGTTCCCGGAATTTTTCCGTGGCTGGGCAGGTTTTACTTTTTCCGTGGCTGGACAAGACGTGTCATGCAGGTTTTACTTTTACAACGAGCAATGACGTCTGAAATGTGGGACCTAGCAAGACAGATTCTGTGTTGAGATCTCTGCCATGATCATCCTGCATGATGAGAAACCTCTTCTCAAGAACTTGGTCAACAAATAAAGTGGAGAGCGCATTTTGGTATAATCATGCAACTAGACAGATGCTTGCATGATTCAGATTTGGCATGACGAGTTGCCATGTTCCAGAGGACCCAGACATATTTGCATTTGATACGGTCTTGGCGTCTATAACTCGAAGTCATCTGGGACCTCCTGTTTGGGCGGTTGTAGTCTCCTCGCCGTTGTTCCTGAGGATCGGTTGTTCCGTATCGTAAGGGAAAATCCCCCCTCCCCATATCGACGAAAAGGTAGATCTCAGAAAGTTTGCAATGCTGATTTGCGACCTCAAATCGTCTCTGTCTTGCAAGAACGCAACTCCACAGTCTCCGCCATTCTGCAGGCGGTTTGTGATGCTGGTGGCCCTACAGACTAGACGTTTGCCATGCTCAGCGCCTAGCCCAAAACATCTCTACTCGGTCTTGGTATGGGCCTGCAGTCCTCTCCAGCAAGATAAATCTGATTTGTGTACCCAAATCCAGCATCAGAAACCTCGTTTTGATATGGGGAGGGGGGATTTTTTCTTTTGATATTCCGCGTCCTTCCGCCCGGCAAGACATCCGGCGTCGGGGTATCAAATGCAAAAATGTTTGGGTCTGGAACAAACCAACTTGTCATGCTAAATCTGAGTCATGTAAAAATCTGTGTTGCATGATTACCAAAATGTCCACTTTTGAGCTAATCGCGAGGCTGTTTCTCATGCAGGATAGGCATGATAGAACTCTCAAAAAATCTGTCATGCTATGTCCTACATACCAGACCTCATGGGTCATGGAAAACCTGCATGACAAATCTTCCACTCTTCCAGACCCAGACATATTTGCAATGCATACGGGGTGATGTATTTTCCTGTCGCCGTGCAGCGGACGGTATGCTATGCAAAAGTATATGTACTCGTACTAATTGCAATCGTGCATTACAAATCTGATTCCCAAGGTCAATCAGCATGACAAATTCCATTTTTCGTGCTGAAAAAATTTGTCATGCGATTTCTACTAGTACGATACTTTTGCACAGGATAGGTGGCTGCGGCACGCGGTCTCCTCGAGGCCCTCGTTGGTCCACCTCCCTTTCTTGCGGCCGCGAAGAAGCGGACGGCTGTATTGTGAGGAAAAACGTCCCCACACCAGAGTCAAGATGGAAAATCTGCTAAGTAGACAAATCAACCAGCTCTGGTTGTTTCGCATGACAAGTTTGCCCGCGCAGTGTCTTCATCCTGTTTAGCTAGTCCCGAAGCATCACATATGTAGCATGCCATGCTGATTCCAGCATCACAAATTCCAAAAGAACACGACTAGATATAAATGGCTCTCATATTAGGGCGTCGCATGAGAAACTTTTTTGGCATGCAGATTTGCATGACAACTCTGGGGTAGGGACGTTTTTAAATGCGATAGGCTGGCGCTGTGTGCGTTGACATGTTGAGGGTCGTGGAGCTGCAGAAGGACGCCGGTTCTGTCCTCTCGGTGGCGCTGCTATGAACTGCAATTAAATGTCTGGATTTTATCTGGAACGAAAGGGAATTATTTCTGATGCTAACTTTATCCCACGAAAAAACTGCTTCACTGTGATGATATTGCAAGATCTGCATCACAAGTTTGTTACACATGACACTGAAAATTTGTCATGCGCACTTCCCAAGGGAAAACACGCTGGAAAATCCAATGCCTTCCATGTGTAGCAAGACAAACAGTTTTGTGTTCCATTTTCTGCATCACAGGTTCACAGTGAAACAGTTTTTTCGTGCGATAAACTTTCGATTGTACAAAAACCTGTATTGCATGTTGAGCCGCAGAAGACTACACTGAGGTTGTTGCCATCTTCCGGAGAGGGATTTTCTCATGCAGGTTGTGCATAAGCATCAACCCTTCGCGATGAAATCTGTGATGCTAGTAGAGCGTGCATCAGAGAGATCCTTGGTCAGGTCAAAACTGCATGACAAACTCCCCTGAATTCTTCCAGAACCGGACTTTACCGAATTGCCTTTGATATCTGGAGACCGTCGAAAAAATCTTCGACTTCGTCCGCGGTCAGGCGGTCTCTATGCCCTGCAAAAGTATCGTACTCGTAGTAATCGCAACTATGCATGACAAATTTCCTTCCTATAGATGAATCGGCATGACAGATTCCATTTGACATGCTGGGAAATAAATTTGTCATGCGCTTTATACGTCGTACGATGGTACTAGTTTTGCTCCGCAGGATAGTCTCGGTAAGTCGCCAAGCGGATGAGCACGGGGCTCGTCGCGGCTTCGGTCCCTGACTTCTTGCTGCCCCCTGGTACTCTGCGTCCTCGGGAGTTATGCAATACAAACAAATTTCATTTTGTCCACTTAAAAAAACGAAAATCACAAATTATTTGTTCCCCTACCTAGAGCATAAACAGTTTGCCATGCCCTCAAATAAAGATTGAGGGAAAGATTTGTCATGCAAAAACCGCATTGGAGGTTTTGGTAGGACGTGTACGGGAAATTTTCTGTGAATAGGAGCCGTCGCGACCGAGCTGCGTCACGTGGTCGGCGACGGTCTTCACGTTGTTCCACCACGCCAACTATGCATTGCAAATATGTCTGACTCGGGAAAGCTACGACTTGTGAATGTGATGCGCATTTTAATTTAGATCATTGAAAAATGAAAATCTGTCATGCATGGGCAGCAGAACAGGTAGTCCTTTTTCTTGATGTCATCGAGCGAAGGGATTTGTTACTTATGCGTATTGGTATTAGGCATTGAGAAACCGGCTCAAAACCTGTCGTGATGCTAAGGCTCGCATGCCACACCTTCTGTCCTGGGGTACGCAGTAGACACTGCATCACAAACATCAACATGCGCAGCAACCATATAGAGAGAGACATGTTTGCAGTTGATACCGTCCTCCCCTCCGTTGACCGTCCTCGCGTCACCCACATTGCCGCCCTGCCCTCTTTCGTCGGCGCCAGATGACAGACGCTGGCCCGACTGCGCCACGACCTGGCCGTTATTGTTCGTAAGTTCAGCAGCTGGGTGATCTGGTCCTGCACCGGGGTGGGCGCCGGTCAACAAACTGGTGCCATCATGCCCCCGATCTTCGTCGGCGCTAGATGACAACATCTGCCCCAACTGCACGACCGGGCCATTATTGTTCGTAAGTTCAGGAGCGGGAGGACGCTCCGAAGATGCACCCGCGTCGTGGGGCCCGGTCGATGTGGAAGCACCTCCTCCATTTTCACCTATCCTGTTTAAAAACGTTTCCACCCCAGCAGAGCTGTCATGCAGATTTGCAATTGCAGCAACATCTGTAATGCGCGTTCCCAAGGGAGGCATTTCCAATCGTGCTTTGGAATTTGTAATGCTGCAAACAGGATAAGCAGATGGAATTGTGATGCGGCTGTCCTTGCTAGTAACATGCACTAGTACTTCTACACTACGGACTGCAACTTGTCAGGCGTGACTCCCAAAACTTCTGGATTTGTGTTGCTACGTTCCCAACTTGACTATGGGGTGGGTACGTTTTTGCATATGATATCTCCAGCGTTTTCGTCACGGCCTTCAACATGATCCTTGTCGCCACCACCAACAGCCTATGCGTTGCAAAAGCATCGTACTCGTATAAATGCATTACAAATTTCCTCAGCGTGAGAAATGAAATTTGTAATGCTGATTTACCTTAAGAAAATGAATTAAAAAGGTTTGTAATGCATGAATGCAATACGAGTACGATACTTTTGCAAAGGATACAGCCTTGCGCTGCTGGGCGTTTGCTTTTGCGGCGGGTTTATTCTTCTTGGCGTTCGTCTTTCCATTGCTAGTATGCATTGCAAAATTTTTACGTACCTTCGCACCAGTGGAGTACAACTAGTAGAACCTGCACTACAAATTTATATTTATTTCATCTCTTTTACAACATGTAATGCTGATTCCCCCTAGGAAATAGTTTTGATGTCATGCAATACTGCAATACGTACTTTAACTTTTGCACAGGATAGCCAGGGGGCGACGAGGACGGGGGAGTCGAACCACTACCGCTGCTACTGGTGCTGTCGTCGCTGCTATCACGAGACAAAAGTGTTACAGTTACACACTCTGATCATGGAAGACAAGCAAGACACAAAACCTCGATCATGCAGGAAATGCTTGCCCGCCTCATTTCATTCGTGTTTTCCCACCTTCTTGTCTGTCACACAGACAAAGTTTGTGGTGCTGAAATTCCAACAAATGTGTTAACATAACTGTAACACTTTTTTCCACCTGTGATAACTGTCACTGGAGGACGAGCCGCTGCTGCTCTCCTCCTCTTCTTTTGCTTTCTTCTTTGGACGGGCAGCTGCCGTGGTCGCTTTTTTGACCTGCTCACGCTGGCCCGAGCTTGTTGAGCGGGGCCGGTCCTCATCCTGGTGCTGCCCTTGATCGCCGCCAACCCGGTCCTCCTTGCTGGCCGGGCGACGAGGCGAATTCGAACGCTGTCGGCGCGCGGCCTGATCGTCCACCTGGTGTTCTTGCGGAGAACTAGTACGACGGGTCCGGCTATCCCAACAAAAAAGTGTTGCAGTTACACACTTGTTGGAACTTCAGCAACACATCATTCAATAAACTTGCTCTACATCTTCACCGAGGAAACGCTCAATGCAGTGATCTGCATGAGAGCGGTTGTCTGTCATGCGCGTTCTGCAACACAATCACAATGGTAACTGTAACGCTTTTTTCTTTGCATACCGGCGCTCCGAATCGTTCTGGCGTTCGTGCTGGTTTCGTCCTTGTTGAAGAGGAGGTCCTCGGCGCGATCCACCACCAGAAGCAAGTATCAATTGCAAAAATGTCTGGGTCTGGAAAATTTTGAGACTTGATGTCATGCACGTTTTGCATGAGCCATGACGTCTGTGATGCGTGCCCTAGCATCACAGATTTTTCAAGGGCTTCTTGATGCCTATTCCGCATCACAAATTATGCCCTCTCCGCGTAGCAAAAATTACATTCCCTTTACTGCTCATGCAATACAGATTCTTTTGGAATCTAAAGGCAGCATCACAAGTTCCATTTTTCCAGACCCAGACATTTTTACATTTGATAGCAGGTCTTGGTCCACCACGACCCTGGAACTCTATCCTGACCAAAAGCGTCCTCACCCCAGAGCTGTCATGCAATTCTGCATGCCAAAAAAGTTTCTCATGCGGAACCCTATAAGAAGCGTTTTCTCTTCGTGTTTTGAAATTTGTGACGCTAGGAGCAGCGTGATGCGCTGGGTCTGTGATGCTTCTGAGCTACCAAAACAGGACTACACTACGAGGACAAACTTGTCATGCCAAACAACCAAAGCTGTGTGATTTGTCTAGCAGATTTGACTCTGGAGGTGTGGGGACGTTTTTAATCAGGATAAACTCCTCCTCTTCGTCTTCATCTTCGAAGCGCACGCGTTTGTCAGGAAAAGCGCAACTTTATGCATTGCAAAAGTATAACGTACTAGTAGTAATGGCATTACAAATTACCTCAGCATGACAAATGGAGAATTTGTCATGCTGTTTTACATTGGGATGGAGAGTTGTCACGCATGTTCGCAATTACAACGAGTTTTACGATACTTTTGCACAGGATAAACTTCGTCCCCGGCGGTTATTTGTCTTTTGTCCGCGTGGTTCGGTTCTGCTTCGTAATAAATTATGCTGACGGTCTATCCAAGAAAAAAACTGTGTTAGTGTAACTTTCTTGGAGGAATAGCATCACAAATTTGCTCTGCATGACAGAGAGAGCCTGTCATGCGCGCCTAGTACGTGAAAACACGTACGAAAAGAGCTTCTGATGCATGTCCAGCATGACAAGTGTAACTGTTTTGCACTTTCTGCATCACAGAATTACACTTACACAGTTTTTTTCTTGCATACGGTCCCGTCCGGTGTCAAGCATGACGCTCCTGCCGCGTCCCTTGTTGTTCGAATTTATCCATAGGAAAAAAAGTTGTAGGTGTATCTTTTTTGGACGAACAGCATTACAAATTCGTCTAGCATGACAGCAAAAACCTATCATGCGCAGATAGTACGTGAAAACGCCCTTTCATGGTCATGGACCGTACTATGCATGCCAAGCATGACAGACGCAATCACTTTGCATGTTGCGCATCACAGATTTACACTACCAACATTTTTTTCTTGGATAGAATTTTTTCCGTCTGGATTGCTGTTGCTGGACGTGTCGCGATCACGACCACCACGCGGAGACCGTGATCGCCGGTCGTCACGACCACGCGGAGACCGTGACCGACGGCCCTGCGGCTCGTCGCTACGGTTTATGAACTGCAAAAGCATCGCACTAGTATAAACCAGCCATGCTCCGGCTGCCGCCGGAGCGCAAGGCTGTTGAGCCGGGGCAAGACTGTTTGCCGATCGGACCACAACCCCACTGGCCTATGTACAACAAAACGCACTGCATTCGTGCCGCCGGTTTGCGCCGCGCCAACCCGCGGGGCCACTTGCGCGCTTCCCGCGCCTGCGGGCGCTCTGCGCAGGGAGCAGCTGCAAAGAACACCGGGGGCGAACAGAGGGCGCTCGGCGGGAGAGGGTAGCGCGAGAGGGTGGCGCGAGAGGGTAGCGCGAGAGGGTGGCGCGAGAGGGAGGGTGCGCGAGAGGGTGGCGCGAGAGGGTGGCGCGAGAGGGCGCGCGAGAGGGTGGCGCGAGAGGGTAGTGGGGACAGGCGCCGAACAAAACAAGTCCGCGAATGGCCTGCAGTGCCAAATATTGGTAGTACCATGCGGATTCGCGCCCACCACTTTGCGTTTTCACCCTCTCGCAGACCTCTCGCAGACCCTCTAGCTTTCCCTCTTTTGGGGGTCCCCGCTAATAATCCGGCTATACTCGCGGGTAGAGGTCGACAGAGGTGGCCGAGAGGTGGCCAAGAGGTTCCGCGAGAGGTCGCCCCTTATTCGCGCCACCTCTCTCGACCTCTGTCGACCTCTCGCGCCCCCTCTTTTTGACCTCTCTGCACCCTCTGAGGCACTTAGGCGCCGCCTTAAGGTGGGGCCTTCGGCGGGCTATACTCGCGCACCCTCTCGCCGACCCTCTCGAAAGGGGTCCCGCGCCACCTCTCCACCTCTGTCGACCTCTTTTTTACCTCTTTTGACCTCTTTTTGACCTCTCGGCCACCTCTTGTTTACCCTCTGTCTACCTCTTTTTTCGCATGAATATAATATATAGTAATTGCATGACAAGAAATTGACTTAGCATTACAAATTGAATTTGTAATGCGGATCGGCCTTGAGAAAAAGATTTGTCATGCATAAATGCAATTACTACGAGTACGATACTTTTGCACAGGATACGGTTGCGTCTGTCTCGATTGGGCGGACGCTCACTACGGTGGCGTCTGCGTATGGCGTTCTCAAACGTTACATTCTCAACTGTTACACGAATTTGTGATGCAAGAATGGCAAAAGTGAAAGGAAGGACCTTGCGCGTCTTGCATGACAGATTTGGCGCAGATTCTCAGCCTGTTTGGCCGTCTGAGAATTTGTCATGCGAAGCAGCTTGATGGCGTTGATAGTCAAGGCGATTTTGCATGACAAATCATGTAACAGTTGAGAATGTAACAGTTGAGAGCGCCATACTCCGCTCCCCCCGGGTATCGGTTGTCTACTTTATGGAGGGATAAAGCAAAGCCCTGTCACTACTTTTTTCATCACAAATACACGTACTTCTAGTTGCGAGGATCTACTGCTCACTCGACAAATTAATATTTCGTGATACAACGTAGTACCATCCCCGTAGATAAAATGGAACCCCAGGTACATCAAAATCGTACGCACGAGAAAATAGCATACTAGCTCATATATTGTAGTTGTGATGATCATTCGGACGGATCTCGATACTCATGGATAGTGCCGCCCGTCCTGTTCGTGAGGATGAAATTGAAAATAAAAGCTCGGGAAGTTTTACATAAAACATGACCAACAGCAACTGCACTTTTTTAGTACCTGCTCTAGTCATCACGGCAACTAACACGAAGCGTCCTGATTAGCAGCATCGTGAGCTCAGTTTGTTATACTCAAAGAACAAAAGCATGGTTTTGACGAGTGAAGAACAAAATCAAGTGTCGCCGTGGAGTTCGTATTTTTGAACAAGAACTTCAATAAATACTCAGCAACAGCATCGCTTAGCTCTTCGTCGCGGCGCCCGCCAAGATCACCACCACGTCCGACGTTCCGATGACTTTCGTCCTCCGCCATCCGGCCATTGCTGCGAGCGTTGCGTTCGCCAAATCCCCTAGAAGAAGTACCTCGCTCGCGGCTCCGACTCCGATCGGCCTCGCCCGTGCCGCGAGGACGTCCATTATTTCGGCGTCCAGGACGGCTGCCGCTGCGGTCGCCTGCACGACGCCCTTTGCCAACGCCTTTACGCCCCCGCTCGCGGCTCGTCTGCTGGTTACGTTTTTTCCCTGCGGCACCTTTGTTCCCGGGGCGGTCGATACTCCTTGATTGGCTTCGATCATTTTCTGCACCCTTTCGGGGGCGGCAGCTACGGCTCTGCTTTCGGTCACGGCTCCGGCTCCGCCGGGTGTTGATGTTGTCTGGTGCGGCGCTCCTGTCACGGCTTCGTCTTCGGCTCTGGTTCGCGCGCTTACCGTATTGTGAGGAAAAATCCCCCCTCCCCATATCTGTGATGCAGATTTGTGTCCACAAATCAGCTCTGTCGTGCAGAAACGAAGCCAAGGCACATGCTAAGCCTGTTTGGGTCCCTAGAGGTCTAGCTCTGCAGCATGATAGACGTTGCTGTTGTAGGCTAAAGCGCATTTTTACAGATGGCTTGCCCAGTGCGTCGCTTCGCTCTTGCTTCTCAAATGTGTAACACAAACGCATTTGCGTAGACAAATCAGCAACACAAATTTCCTCCTGGTGGTGCAATTTCGAATAATATGGGGAGGGGGCTTTTCTCACGTTGATATACCGACACCTTTGTTGCGGCTCCGGCTGTCGTCGCGTTTTTTACCGGCACTCTTGCTACGCCCTTGGCCGCTTTGGTCGCGTGCTGTGCCCGCCATTTTGCTGCGACCTCTGCTTCGCTCGCGTCTACCGGCGCTTCTGCTACGGCCTCGGCTTCGGCTGCGCTTACCCACACCTTTGCTACCTCTCCGGCTTTGGTCGCGCTTTCCCGCCCCTTTGCTGCGGCCGCGGCTTCGGTCCCGGTTACCGGCACTCCTGCTACGGCTCGGGCTTTTGTTGCGTTTGCCCGCCATTTTGCTGCGGCCTCGCCTCCGTTCACGCCTACGACCGGCGCTTCTGCTGCTGCTTCGGCTTTGGTCGCGCTTACCGACACCTTTGTTGCGGCCTCGGGGGCTCGTCCGTTCGCGTCTTCTATCGGCACTCCCGCTACGGCTCCGGCTTAGGTCGCGCTTTCCCGCCCCTTTGCTGCGGCCTCGGGGGCTCCGTTCGCGTCTACCGGCACTTCTGCTACAGCTCCGACTTTGGTCGCGTCTACCAGCAGTTCTGCTACGGCTTCGGCTTTGGTCGCGTTTTCTACCGGCACTTCTGCTGCGCCCTTGGCCGCTTTGGTCGCGCTTTAATATACCCGTCCTTTCATTACGGCTACGGCTTCGGTCGTCGCTTTGAGCGGCGCTACTTCCGCTACGGCTACGGGGTCGGCTTGCCGCATTGCTGTTGCTTTCTTGGTCGCGTTTATTTTCACCTCGGCCTGTTCCTTTGGTACGGCCTCGGCATCTGACATCGTCCTCAACATCCTGATTGGCAGATGCAGCGGCCGTGCCTTGTTTGCCAGAGGAAGCGCGACGTTGGGAAGCAGGCGTTTCGGGCACAGGCGGACGCTTCGGCTCGCGGACAGTAACGTCGTCACGGTCTGAACCTGCTCCTTCATCATCATCGCTACTGCTATCATCACTACCGCTATCATCACTACCGCTAGAGGAAGACGAGGAACTTATCCTGTGTAAAAATGTCCCCAGCCCATAGGTGTCATGCAGATTTGCAATTGCAGAAACATTTCTAATGCGCATCCCCATTGGAGGCATTTCTTTTTCTCTTCGTGTTTTGGAACTTGTTATGCTGTATTAAAGAGGATAAGCAAATGGATTTGTATATGCGACTGTCAAAACTTGTCATGCGTGACTCCCAAATAAACTTCTTCCAGGTTATTTGCGTTGCAAATTCCCCAGCTTGACTATGGGGTAGGAACGTTTGCGCTTAGGATAGAACTCAAAGCAGGCTTTTTGGGCGGAGGCGGACGCTTCGGCTGGTGGGCAGTTATGCTGAGTAAAAACGTACCCACACCATAGTCAAGTTGGGGAATCGGCTAGACAAATCCACAAGTTTTGGCTGTTTTGCATGACAAAATTGGATTCGTAGTGTAGTGCTGTTTGAGCTAGCTCAGCAGTATCACAGATCTAGCATACCATGCTGATTGGAGCATGACAAATTGCAAAACACGATTGGAAAATGCTTCTCATGGGGCTCCGCATGAGAAACATTTTCAGCATGCAGATTTGCATTACAACTATGGGGTGGGGACGTTTTTAAATGGGATAGCAGTAGGAATGTTGTCACGACCTGCTCCTGCTTCGTCGTCATCGCTAGAAGTACTGCCAGAGGAAGAAGAGGAACTGCCAGAGGAAGGCGACGAACTACTGCTACAGGCAGATTTTTTTCGCTTTTTAGAAGTACTGCCAGCAGTAGGTGCAGCTGGTGGATCTTTTTGCCCCAGCTCTGGCTGTAGTACTGTGTGCGGGTCCGCATCCTGCTCTGGTCGAGGTCGTTGCTCTGCATCATCCTCATCGGACACTTCCCACCAAGGGCGAGCCGTGTTGTCTATGGAAGCGTCAGGATTGAAATCGTCACAGTTGAAATAATTTCTCATGCATAAATTGCAAGGCGTGAAGTGCCTCTCTTGCAGGTATGGCAAGTGAGGCAGATTGTCAGCCTGTTTGGGGTCTGCGATAGAGCTGCGAAAGTAGCATGACAAAAGACGCCTTCTGTCCCTAAACAGCATGACAGGAAAACCAAAAGGATTTATATATACGCTGCCACAATGACAATTTGTCATGCGCCGCTTAGAAATTGGGCTACCGACTGCGAATGCTATCGATTTTATGCATAGCAAGTTATTTCAACTTTGTCGATTTCAATCCTGACACTCCCATATTGTCCGGATGAAACCACTTACGCCGACGGACGATTGGGATCGGCCCTTCTAAGATCAGCTCGAGTTCTTCACCGTTTGCATTGACATTGTCCTTCAATTTCCCATCGGCTATTTCTTCCTTGGTTGCGGGTCGTTGATACACGCATAAAGCCAGTTCGCCATCGGGGCCGCGTCTCCAACTCATCATTGGACGCGTAGGATCGGTTAAACCCTCATCGTGGAGTACTATCAGAAGAAAAAATCCCCCCTCCCCATATCAAAAAGGTAAAACATGTTTCCAAAAATTTGTGTTGCTGGTTTGAGCAGGTCACAAATCACATCTGTCTTGCAAGAAGACAAGTTGGCAGAAGCTTCCGCCCCATTATGGAGTTGATTTGTCACGCTGTTGGGCCGAAAGGAGAGTCGTTTGCCATGCTGACCAACTAGACCCATACGCCTCTACCTAGCCCTGGGGATCTGGCCGCGGTGCCTCTCTGCAATACAGACCTGATTTGTGTACACAGATCCAGCATCAGAAATTCCGTTTTGATATGGGGAGGGGGGATTTTTCCTTTCGATAAATTTAAATACCGTAGCTATGTTTTTTTCCTTCCGATGTTCCTGGTCGTGCACAAGGACGCGGCAATATGCAGTGCAACTAAAGCATCGCACTAGTATAAATTGCATGACAAATTTGCTCAGCATTACAAATGAAATTTCTGATGCTGATTTACCTTGAGAAAGAGATTTGTCATGCATAATTGCAATTACTTTTACTACGAGTGCGATACTTTTGCACAGGATAGGCAAGATAAAACTCCATGGTTCTGCAGCAGTTCTGCTATGCTGAGCAAAAACGTCCCCACACCAGAGTTGTCATGCAGATGTGCAGGTACAGAAACATTTGTAGTGCGGGTCACAACGAGATGCATTTCTAACCCTGTTTTGGAATTTGTAATGCTGTAGATGGGATGAGCAGATGGACTTGTGATGCGGCTGTCCTTACGAGGAACCTTAACTACACTACGCGCTGCAACTTGTCATGCGTGGCTTCCAAAGCGTCTAGATTTGTGTTGCTAAGTTCCCAACTTGACTATGGGGCGGGGACGTTATTTTTACACAGGATATCTGCTAAGCCTGTGTCATCTTCTTCTACATTCACATCTGTGGAGGTCGTGCTCCCTTTTCCTTTCGCTTCATCGCGAAGAACGACCTCGGTATCATGGTCCTGCAGCAGTTCTGCTAAGCCTGTGTCATCTTCTTCTACATTCAGCTATCCCGAGCACAAAAGTCCCCACCCCACAGTTGCCATGCAGATTTGCAATGACAGGACCATCTGTGACGCGCATCCACATGATAGGCATTTGCAATCGTGTTTTGGGATTTGTATTGCTGTAAACAGGATAAAAAGCACATGAATTTGTAATGCGGCTGTCCTTTCCAAACTGCACTACACTACGTACTGCAACTTGTCATGCGTGACTGCCAGAGCTTCTGGATCTGTGTTGCCAGAGCCCCATCCTGACTCTGGTGTGGGGACGTTTTTACTCAGGATATAATCCCCTCTGTGGTCGTGTTCCCTTTCGCTTCATCAGGAGGATGAACGCCCTCGGTATCATCATATACGGTGCCGCGGTCGCCACTTTTATGAAGATCGCGCCCGGAGGGCGATATTGGTAACCAAATGCGTGCGCGAAAATCTAACCAGCGCGAAAGCCAAACCAGCCGCGCGGCGAAAGCGCGGCCCGCCACCATTTTTTTTAATTAGAATCTCACTTCTTCTTCTTGAGCCGCGGGCCGCAGTTTGCGGTCGCGGCCCTAAAGGGCCGCGGACAACTACTGTCGCCCGCGGCGGCCCGCAGGCTCCTGCGATAAGCATTGAAGGCGAAATCCGGTCTGCTATTTCGCAGCGGGGCATCCTTTCTAGCCC